CAACTCTTGCTAAGAAATCGAGGTCCCTGTATTGGAACCTTGTTGCTCTCATACTGAAGTCCCTTCCTCGGCCCGAGCAGAGTAGGAAGACCTCCCTTCAGACTCACTCAAAGACATGAATGAAGAGGAGGGAGAAGGAATCATCAGTGTTTTAGAGAAAGAACCACCAACTTCACCTAACTGAATTAAGATTGATGAATTGGCAGCGACTAATAACTCTGTAGTTTGATGCCTTAAGGGCATCATTTCATGGGTATTTTAGGCCTTAGAATAGTCAAAATGTCCCCTTTTCCCAGTTAAAATCAATATTGTGACCTCATAGGGTATTTGTGCAAATCTTGGGGAAAATCGGGGAAGTTTCAAAGTTGAAATGCAATTTCGGGGAAGTTGGTGTGAAGTCCAGCAAAGAGAGGGGGTGTTTTTGTGAGAAATTGAGCACAGGAGGGCGCCTCCTATTTGCTAAACCCAGAATGGCACCCCTCCTACTGTATTAGCATACTCCTCTCTCCCTATCAAACGCTAGGGCACCTCTCCACTCATTCTTTTCATCTCTAACAAACCCTAGCCGCCCCTAACTGCAAAATCCTCACCTTCCATCCCTTCTAATCTCCTCCATTCAAACCCTAGGGCGTCACCTAACTTCTAATCCTCACCATTCATCCTTTAGCCACTAGATCTTAGCCCTCTGTTCCATTCTCTATCTCAACCATCCACTCTAGGGCACCACCCACTCCTTTTAATCTCCACCTTTCAACCCTAGGCGCCTAAACCTCCACATCAAATTCTGGAAACCCAAATATTAGCCCTACATAATATTGAGCGCCATCTCCTTCTCTTCTCAGCCTTAAGATCACCTTATAACCATCCTAACCCTTCATTCTAAAACCTAGGGCACCCATATTTTTGCTAAAACCCAGCTGTCGCCTCCCTCTTTCTCCCTAATCCCAGTTTTATCCACCCTTCTCTATAAAAAGGACCCAAGGGGCCCTGAGAACAATTGGATTCAGCCCCCAGGTAAGACGGAAGGCTGATCTTGAGAAGTTCAAAGGTAGAGGAAGAGGAGAACGCCTAGGCAAGAGGAGGGGTTCCTGCTTGCAGTTCGCCTAGCCACTACTACCACCTCTAGATTCGAATCCCAACCAGTTTACTTTAGTTTTAGATTTAAATTTCGTTCTTTAATTTCCAATTCTTATTTTTCCTTTTTATAATTTACTATTATCTAGTTTAATTTTTGTTTTCTTTTCTGTAGATATGGGATTCGGCCAGGTAAGACGAAAGGCCTAGCTCAAGGAGTTTGAGGGTCAAAGGAGAGATCCGGAGACTGCTACCTCTGACCAAGTTGTAGACATTTCATTTAGTTTCTTTTATTTATTTATTTATTTTTTTGCACTTTTCACTTTCAGCATTGCTAGAATCTTATTTTAATGGATTCTAGTTTAATTAATTAAGGTTTTGTGTTTCTGCAACTTCCCATCGTGTTATTTTGTTCGGATTAAAGCACGTAGTGATTTTTCCCTCGCTTCCTTGTGGATACGACCCCTTTCTCACCACTAACTGCGTTTCATAGTTGTTTTGTGAATCGGAAAAATTTATAAATATTAAAACTGGTGTTCCGAAGTGGTTAACGACACGCTTTCGGAGACACCAGCGACCTCTCAACTGGTCCTGTGTCCCATCTCTCGCCTCACTCTTCTGCAAGGAAATTCAAAACATTACAAATGGGATCCCTCCTAGAGACGCCCTATTTATAGCCATAGGTGAGGAAAATCAACAAAAGAGAGGATCACAACCCACCAATAGTTCACAGGCGAATTTGATTTTCAAAATTTGTGTTCCCGATTTAAAACTTGAACTTGCCATGCACGCTAGTCCGCCCTTAGGCCGAGTTAAGCAAATAGATTGAGCAAACTATGAACTAAACGGACGAGTTACCCCGTGCTAGAGATTGACAACGATGTACTAACTTCACCGAACCAACATTGACTCGGGAGTGGGGGGCAATTGATGAGGGGTGATTTGTCCCTCAAGTGACATTACTACACGTGGCTCCACAAAACCATCAAACAACAACTTAACTCCACGTAAGCAGGCTTCGGGAATATGACAAAAACCTCGTACCAATCATGGACTCCTTAGTCCCACCTCAGCAGGTCAGACTATAGATGGATTGGCCAGTGGCAGGTCAGCGTATGAGGCGACCTACCTCCGCCAACCTGGTAGATACTCGGCCCTACCTCAGTAGGATGGACTAAGAATAGGTTGGCCAACATTAGGTCGGTGTAGTAGGAGGCGACCTGACTCCGTCGGCCTAGTAAAGATTTGGCTAGCGGTCTAGGTAACGCAATGAGTAACCTCCTCCTCGAGCGAGTTGTCGCTTCCAACCTTTCCAAGATCAAGATGCCATGTCGGCGGAGCTAGTTTCTGCCCCGCCCGCTTCGGGCATGACCGAATAAGCACTTCCCACCTACATGGAGTCCAACTACGAGCGTGAAACTGTTGTTGAGTTAGATAGGCCAGAGATCTCGAATGCGCTTCGTAGAACTCACAACAGTTAGCCTATATAAAGGTATCCCCTTCCTCGAAAAAGGTATGCACGATTCTGCACTAATAGCTCTCTTGCTCTCAAGCTTTCCAATTCTCATAGCTCATCATTGACTTAATCTAGACACTTTTGAGGACTTCTCTCTTGCAATTCGGCCACACGACCTACTCAATCCAACATCTGAGTTGTCCGCTAGTAGGGAGCGTCAGATCGCGCAACATCAATTATCATCATCATTATTACAAGTTCCATTGATAGAAGAAATGAGAAAAATAACAAACATGGGAGTTGGGACATTACATTTAGAATAATAACAAAAATCTCATTTGATTTGTCCAAATGAAACTAAAAACTTAATTAGTCCTTTTTTGCATTGAACTCTCTTAAAACTATAAGAAAAACAAAGAGAATTTTATTTGTCTTTTTTGTTTTTCTTTTTTACTTTCTTTATTTGACATATAATTATTAAATTGCTTTTTCTATATGTTTTAAATTATAAAAATGTACTTTTATGCATTAAATCACTAAGTAATCATTGATACTTGAGGCTTATGCCTTTTTACGCCTCAAGCTACGCTTCATGTCTTGAGGCTTATGCCTCATTCTAACAAAGGCTTAAACCTCACATCAAAGTTGTGAAGTTTAAGCCGTAGGGCGTTCTCATAATATCAAGAACTTATTGATAAGACAGGTCCCACCATTGAAAGGAAAAAAATGTAATCTTATTGCGTGGATCCTCCCCAAGTATGGTGAAATTAAGATCAATTTTGATGCCTCTCGATTGAGGGATAGTTTTTGTTCCGTTGCGGCAATTGTTAGGGACCATTTGGGGAGGGTCTTGGATTTCAAATGCTCAACTCTTGGCACTACTTTCATTAATGCGGCTGAGGCTTGGGCTGCATGGGAAGCTCACAATTTGGCCCTCAACTTTAATGACCATCCAATTATATTTGAGGGGGACTCGAAAATTGTGATTGATTGTTTAAAAGGGCAGATTTCTCCCCCGTGGAATCTTAGGAACATCATCTTGGGTTGCTTGAAGATGAAGGAGCAGCTGGAGAGAGGTATACAATATAGGCACGTGTTTAGAGAGGCAAACCAGGCGGCAGATTGGCTCACTCACAAGTAGATGTCATCTTCTCTTTCTGCTTTTTCTTTTAACTATTGTAATCTTCCTAGAGACCTTTATTTTATTTGTTTAATGACTTCTGGGGTCGTACTACCCCCATCTTGTGTATCACATTTTCTTTCATATCAAAAAAAAAAAAAAGAAAGAAGTTTAAACCTTGAGACAAAATCTGTACACTTTTTCAGGGTTAAGCCTTTTATAACAATGCTTTTAGGTTTGGTTTAAATCTCTATACCACTTTTTCAGGGTTCTTTTAGGACCGATTTGAACCAATTTGTTACCTCATAAATCATACTCTACTTGAGCCAAATCCATGTATTGTTTTTCCCAGGCTTAATTATTTTTAATTACTCAATTAACGTACAATGTTAACTTCCATTGTTCTTTAAGGATGTTTGGAGCTCGATAGGCAAATAACTCGTGGTGAAATCTCGTCTAACACTGATGGCTCAAGTTGTGCTTCTTATGCAAATAAGGCTGGTAGTGCCTTAGGTTAATCAATCTACAAATAAAAAGGTTTACCTTTGTATTCAGCCAACGGCTATTTATATAATGAAATTCGCTTGAAGACCGGAATTGTTCTTAGGCTTAATGAAATTTGAAATAAACATGAAAACTTGTATATTGAGAAAAAAAAATACATGCTTGAGTTCAATTGAACCAAATTGATTTAGGTAATGAGAACAGATTACAGCTTTAGAGCAATCCCAAGAGCCTTTGAGAGGGACGGAGCTATAAACATACGTGATGGATGAGTTTGTCTTTAGTTTGAAATTCTCCATTTTCAGGGAGACGTGGAATTTTCCACCATAATGGTCCAGGTTATCACCGTTAGAGCTGTCTAGGTTCTTAGGGCGCTTTTGAGATGGTCAAAGCTGCTCAAAGTCACCCAATCAGAGAAATTTGATAAATGGGCTATTAAATTTAAAGCAATAAAATCTCAATACTATAAATGGGCTATTAAATTCAACATTTCAATCTTTTCATCAATATGTATGGACAACGTTAAGGTAGGAATTCTTTTAGGGGCATTTGTTTTTGAGATTTTGAGAGGGGGAAAGTTGGTGACCAAGAAATCCATTTCTTTTTTCTGATTTATGTAGGAACCAAGGAAAGTTATTCATCTCTTGGTGGAATTGCGACATATCCCCTCCACCCCGAACTCGTGGTGCCGCTGTTCTTTTCCTCAACATTCTTTAAGATGGAGTCGGTTTCAAGCTCCGTAGACCCCCGAGGATCCAATCTAGAAGCTCTTTCTCCTCTCAGCTTCCACCGGATCTCTTCGTCGCAGTTGCAACAAATACTCTCCACGTCGGAGGAGCAAAAGCTATGGTGAATGACGCCATGGTACCGGAGGTCTCTGACAAAGGCCCAGTCACAGCAACCGGTGTTGGGATCCCATTGGATGAAAGCTGGATGGATGTAAATGGGTTCCGTGAATCCTAGGAGAACCATTTTGTCTTTTGGGTGGCAACGGGCAAAGGAGGCGAAGGTGGAAGATGGAAGGAGAGCTTTGTAATCCGGAATTTGTTAACATCTTCTCCTGTTTTCTCCTTAAAATGGTTAAATATTTTTTATTAATTATTTTTAATATCAAAAACAGGGGAGAATGGAGAAGGAATTGTGTTGGAAGGATGTAAATTCTATTCTCCTTTTTCAAAAAAAGGAATCGTGTTTAATGGAATCCTAGGAGGACCTTTAATGGATAATGGAGAATAGAGCTAGATCCGTCCAACTCTATTTCTCTGACTAAAATTCTAAAAATCAGAACACTAATTTCTTCCTAAATGGGATATTTTCTACCAAAAAAAAAATAGTAAACAGGACTCAAATAACCATTTCACCTAAAGAGTTGCAACAGGTATCTCGTGAAGAGTTACAGGGTTGCAACCTGAGTTGCAGAGGTGCAAACAGTAAACCGCTTGCAAACATAGATGAATGTGTGGATCTAACCATGAATTACTGTGCACCATTAGTGATTTGCACAAATATTAAAGAGGAGGACGATGGACGGTTAGCCATTGCTGATTTGAAATGTTAGGGCTTTGACGAATCAGTGTTTCTTTCCCCCTTTTTCCTGTTTTATTTTGAAAATTTGAAAAAAAAAAATAATGGGTAAAATAGTCTTTTTTGTTTTTTCTGTTAACAAATACTAACAGTAAGGGAAGTATTAGTCAATTGTTAGAAACAGCAGGGATAGTGTTTGTCAATTTTCAAACAGTAAGGGTACATAGTCAATTAGCTAAACCATAATAATAGTTTAAGAAATTTACCTTTATTTTATTTACCTATGAAATAAAAAAAACATGGATAAATGCACTTACCCAGATAAATGTTTCCCAAAAAACATTTACTCAGGTAAACAACTTTTCGAAACAATAAGAAGGCCTAAGGGATTTTACAAACAATAGGGGTGTATAAATCCATTTCCTAAAACTTAGGGATAGATTAAGAGATTTCCCCTTTTGTCCAAATATTAAGACCTAGCATGGCTTTTGGCTACCTTATAGCTTCTCCATTACCAAAACACCCACTCCACTTTGCAAGCATTTTATTTAATGTACCGCGCGTTAGGGACCATTTGCATATCCTTTAGAAATGTTTTGTTATTTGAAAAATACCCATAAAAGGTCTCATTCTCATATAACCATTTAGAAATAAATCCTTCCCCCACAATATTATATTTCAGAAAAAAAATAGTAACAGAAATAAAAATTAAAATTAAATAGGCAGTAATAAAGGAAGACAATATGTTTACTGTCTACTTACTTTTATTTTTATTTTATATCATATTCATTTATTTTCCAATTTAATATATTATTTTCTATTATTTGACTATTTGTCTATTTTTTTATTTTTCAAATCAATATTTCCACTCTATTCTTTTAATTATTTTGGTCAAATTGATATTAGGGCCAAAAACATTATTTTACCATATACCACGGACCAGCAGTAGAGTGGTTGCCTCTATAAACATACAAACTAATGAACTATATAGGGTAGGTATTACTAAACATAGGGTGTTCAATTGAATTTTTATTGCTAAGACGATCATTGCCTTATTTACATGGGAAATAAAAGAACATGGGTAAATACACTTATCTGGGTAAGTCTTTCCTGGGAAACACTTACCCAGATAAGTGTATTTTGAAGAAAGGGTTATGATCCATCATATGAATGGCCAAACCATGCTAAATGGCTAGGCGAAATTTCAAAAAAATTCCTAATCCTTTTGGGAATCAATTTCCCTATGTTTTGAAAAATTGCATTTTTCAAGATCAGTCTTGTACTAAACCAAACCAGATTTGAAACCAACCAAAGAGGGAGATGTATACCTGATACGGATACCACAAACGCATATCCCAAGGTGGAAGTTCACGCCCAAGTGCATGTAGAATCGAACGGCTGGGATCTCTATCTGTCTTACCTGCATGCAAAGAAAATAATAGCAGCTTCACAGTATAGGATCCGAGACACCAACCTCTCAAACAATGTATAAGAGAGAATAGCTTAATCTGATTAGAGTTAAGGCTGAGAGGATAATTTTCCTTTCTCAGTAAAGAGCCTATCTCATTCTTTTTGTTGAAGCACTTGGGAGAGATCCCTTATATGTTTGCTTCTCCAACTTTAAGTTCCTTGACATTAGGAACAAACTGTTAGCAATATAACCAATTGAGATAAGTGTTCCTTAACATTAGAATCCATGCTCCATCAGATTTGAGACAATTGTCTCATATTGACCAAAGATATAACCACTTGGTTATCCAGTCTACACTGGGTCAAATGGATATCCATTGACCCAATAAGAGCTAGAATATGGATCCAAATAATCCAACAATATTGGTATCTCTATGCATAAAACATTTTCAAGTAAACAATCAAATAAATTTCTTTTTATAGAAAATAAATAAATAGATAATAATTTGAGAAAAACAAGTGAATGATTGTGTGTGAGAGTGTTGCATAGAGATAACCATAAAATAATCATCTTCCATCAACATGTGGCTTATCACATGGCCATTGGTTGTTCCAACATGTTGAGGATCAAAACGAGGGCCTATGGCCACTCTACCAACATCTCCCACTTGGCCAGTTAGGCCTGAGATGAATAAGTGCCAACCAATCCCATTGCTTTGACATGCCTTACATAATTTGTAATTGCAATGGGTTTAGTTAATGGGTCGGCAATCATTTATTTTGTAGGCACGTATTCTACCAGGATCTATTCCGTTGGTAGACATTATTTAAGTACCGGTACCGAACATCAATATGTTTAACTTCAAGGCATGCCATGGTGGCATAACTGAGTATCTTCATAGTTCTCATCAGTACATCAAGAATTTTCACTACTTTTGAACCCACAAATCTGCAAGTAATGAACTCAGTATGCATGACAAATTTAGGTACATAGCTTTGCTTTCTTGCTCATCGATGAGACAATTGATCCTCCTAAGAGGAATCAACACCTAATGGTGAATTTTCTATCATTTGGGTCACCTACAAAAAAATAGCACGACACTAATCCAACACTTCCAAGTAATATGAGTTTGAAGTGTTTTACCAACTTTAAAAATCCAAGCACTCTTTTAGTAGCTTTCCAATGGGTTCCTTAAGTATCTACTTACAAGACCAACAACACATTATATATTGGGTCTTATATAATATATTGCATAAATCAAGCCACCTATAGATTTAAGCACAAGATTTGCTTTTCATATTCAGTATTTCTTCATTTATGGAAGCCATATCTTAATATTATCTAGCAGATTTGAGTGTCATTCCCATTGCAGTCTTTGATATAAACTATCTTAGAATCTTTTCTAAATAATGCTCTTAAAAGATCTAAAGTTCCGACCCCCCTTATCTCTTTGAGAAGCATCCTTCATTTTTCAAATTGGATTTCAAACAAATATTATATTGATTATGGACATATCATTAATAATAATTGGGATGTGCTCTACACATAAGAGAAGAACAATAAACATACTCCCACTATTCAAAGAGAAAGCCCAAGAAAGGAATTAAGAATAAACATCCTCATAATCAATGCTTCTATTTGAGTATATCTTCTTGACATACAAAACTTGCTTTATAATTTTCTATGGATCCCTCGATATTTATTTACACACTATAGGTTTTTGTTTTGATAAGAACAATCAATTCCCAAATTTGATTTTATTTGTGGTTTCACACCATATCATGTGTTTTCCATAACATCTACAAAGACAGTAGGATCATAAAAAAAAGCCAATAAAATCAACATAAGGGATTGCTTATTTAAATGTAATAGTCCATTAATCTCAATGAAGGGAACCCTTTTCTTTGAAGAGGTAAAGTAATTAGGCTCAAAAGTATAAGGTTAAGTATTATGAGAATTTGTACAAAAAAATGATCATAACTAGGACTTTCAAAAAATCTGGTTAATCTCAATCATACCAAAATTTGTACAGTAAAGAAGGCCAAATGAACAACTCAAAATTATTAGCTTCAATTAAATTTTGGTATGATTGAGATTAACCAGATTTTTAAGCCTGAAGCTAGTTCTTTAAATGCTTAAGGTTTTGAAGTTGTTTTTGAGACAATATACTAGGATTTGCTTCCCTGTATCTTCAAGCTGTAATTTAACGAACCAAAAGATGATTTACTTGTTCCATAGCATTTGAAGGTAGCAGCCTACCTTTCCTTTTATTTGATAGTCCTAAATTTATGTATTTCAGTTGGGACTTTGTGTTTAGGCATTGTGCAATTTAATAAGTCATCCTGTAGCAAATTTACCTAAGTTCTTAAGTTTTTCTATAACCACTGTCAAGTGGACTTAGTAGTATTTAATTAAAAATAAATAAATCACTTTATATCGACGGCTGCATCATACTACTGCTAATACTTTCAACTTGAAAATTGTTGGATGCATATTTGTTGGAACACAGAATTTTGATTTGCATCACTTTTAGTGAATAATTAGACTTAGATTGAATGCCTGTTTTATCCACAACATTTAAATTTCTTTCTGATCACCACAAGTTCCTCATTGTATTCTTATTTTTTTGTGATCAAAATAGTTTAAAATTTTTAAAGTTTCTTTTAGTGTTACACCTATTTGAAAGATTTGATTCTTGGAAGGATAATGACTAGTCCACTCATACTTCTTTTTTTTTCCATTTAGTCTCATTAAAAAAAAAAAAAGAGGGGCAAGGGAAGAAGCTTTAAACCTTGGATCAACACGGGTCGGGAACTTGGAGACGAGTTTCTACTTGACGGGAACTGTGGTTGGACCTCATCCTCTTCCAATCATGGTAAGAGAGTTTCAATCGGTAATAGGAAAGGAAATAAGGAGACAGGCAATGGAGAAATGGGGTGGTAAACCAGACATTCTAGTTGCTTGTGTGGGGAGTGGCTCCAATGCAATGGGTCTGTTTCATGAGTTCATAGGCGATGAAGAGGTGCGGCTGATCGGTGTGGAGGCTGCTGGGCTCGGCCTTGACAGCGGAAGACACTCTGCAATTCTAGCTAGAGGAGAAGTGGGTGTTTATCATGGAGCCATGAGCTACTTACTGCAAGACCGGGAAGGGCAGATAATTGGGCCTCACTCCATAGGTGTTGGGTATGTATACATGCATGAGTCGATCGGTTCATTAATTACAAGAAGCTCTCTCGATTCTCAAATGATATAAATATAATTGACACGTACCCTTTTGGAAACTTTGTTGTTTATATTGAGGTTGGAGTACCTAGGGGTTGGACCAGAGCTCAGCTTTCTTAAAGACACAGGCCGTGCGGAGTTCTATACTGTGACGGACCAAGAAGCTTTAGATGGTCTCTGTCTCTCTCTTTGAATAAGAAAATAATAATAATTTTTGATTTATTACAACAACAGCAAAACTAACTAGCAGTTATAAGTTGTGAATTGCAGCGTACCATCGGCTATGCAGATTAGATGGCATAGTCCCCGCTCTGGAGGCCTCTCATGCACTGGCCTTTCTAGAGAAACTTTGCCCTACTTTGCCCAACTGTACAAAGTTGGTAGTCAATTGTAGCGGGCGTGGAGACAAGGATCTTGCTACGGTCTTCAAACTCAAACAAGGATTCGATGATGAAGTAACAAATTCATAAGCTATATATGGTGGTGGAGAACTGGAGATCAATTCGATTACTCTCTCAATTAATTATAAATGATTCTGAGGTCCCTTTCTTTTAGCCACATTAATTGATTTCTGGTTATTTCCTGTATTGAACCTTGCACAATTGAATGTGATGGTGACAATCCAGACTCCAGGTGGACGGCGAGTTGGATCGGTGGTCTGCAAAACAATCTATCAGAAAACCTGAGGTGGCTAACCCAATGAGGTCGCTCTGATACTTAAGTTAGTATGTTGTAAATGCGAGCTGAGTGCTTGAGAGATTGAGTGCTTGAGAGCTTGAGTGCTAGAGAATAGAGTAATCACATGTACCTTTGCCTTGAGGTTCTCGTCTTTATATACTGGGTAGTCGTGGGTCTCACGAAAGAGCTTCGGGATCTTCGGGGTGTGGAGATAGGGTTCATTCCGCTTCCGAAGGAGAAGTACGTAGATAAGGCCTTATCGTTTCACTTCCGACTCTGGCGGAGCCAGGATGAGTCCTCATCAAGATCTCGGAAAAGTCGGGATCTGTTAGTTCATCGTGATCTCGAGAGATTTGGGATTTGTTAGCTCATCGTGATCTTGAGTAACTTGGGATCCGTTGGAGAGACCTCTAGAGTCGGTTATGTGGCGATTCGGGTTGTTAGCTCCGAGCTAATACTTCGATTATTTAGTTTCGAACTGGACTGGATGCCGAGGTGACTCGACGCCGATGTGAGTTTTGTGCCGAGGTGGTTGAATACCCGAGCTCCCAATGTTGCGAACTGGGCTTGCTAAGCTGAGCTGTCATCCCTTAATTAGGTCGCATCCATGTGTCCCCTTCTCGCTAGGTCGGGCCAAATCACCCTTCATCAATTGCACCCCACTCCCCGTGTCAAGGGTCTCAACCCGGTGTGGGGAGTTCATGACGAGTCCAAGTGGATTTGACATGAGGTCTAGGTGCCTTGACGGGCGAATTGTTGGTCGGACCTATTCGACCTCCCGGCTCAACCCAGGAATAACCTAGGTCGCGTCTGAGTTACGCGCGGACGTCACACCGTTTTATAAACTCCACAGACATCAAAACACGTGCTAAATCAATTTCAACCCCGGGGGTCGTGCAACAAGTTTACCTAGGAGCCGTTGGATCGTGTTGATCTCGATCGTTGACCCCCGAATATACTTGCTATGAATAAGGGCCAAGGGGTTCATTTTCCTCGCCACAACTCCACAAATCCACAATCTTTGAGGTCGCGTTCAAGTCTTTCTGAGGTCGCTTTCCTTTCTTCGGTCTTTCTTTTGGTGAGTCTTCCTTTGCTTTTTCTTTTCGGTTCCGTGTCTTTTTAGTATGTCTAGCTTTAGCTTTGATAGTCTCTTAGATGGGAGCGGTGAATCCGCTGGAGCCAAGGTGGGTACCTCGGCTCAGACCGTGGATCCTTGTCCTACAGAGGAAGATACTTCGGGCCAGGGTGCAGTCCACGGTCCTCCCGAGGTGAACTCACCTCGGCGAGAGTGAGAAGCCTCAAGTAACCTGGCCTCCACCTCACATCGAGGTCGGCTTCCAGACAACTTCGGCCCATCGACAATGACGGCAGACAGGCTCCTAACCCTAGTAGCTCGGTACAGGCTTCCCAACGACTTTGTGTATAGCATCCCCTTAGGCAACTTCCCTTGGGACCATGGTCACGACGAGATTGTGATCTTCGAGGAGTATCTCGCAACTAATCTTCGCCTTCCACTTCACCCTCTCATAGTCGAGATCGTAAAATTTTTCAACATCACCATAGATCAGTTACACCCGAACTCTATCCGCAACATCGTAGGGACCATTTCACTTTTCCAATATTACAATCTTCCCCTTGACCTCGACGTTTTTTCTTCTATTCTTTCCATAAAGAAGAATTCGTCTTGTGTTCTGCCCGAGCACAGGCGAACTTACAATCTGTCACCTCGCCCTGGTTTCAAACTTTTGCACAAGCTCCCTAACAAGGTCCCAGCCTGGAAGAAGCACTATTTCGTGGTCCGCAACATTGAGGGGTGGCCTTTCCCGACTCATTGGAGGGCAGCCATCCAGGACCCTGGTGTTAGGTTGGACCTGAAGACAAGGGAGGCGCTCCGATCTTGGGCGGAGCTCGGCATGAAGTTCGAAGACTTCGTAACTAAGGAGAAATTCATGTAGGCCGGTCTGAGTCCTGGTAGGTCATTGTTTGACATACTTTCCCTATCATTTTTACTTCGGTACTGTATTTGACAACTCATTTTTTGTCGCAATTGTCATGGACATCCCCGCCAACAAACTCTTCGGGAGCATGAAGAGGGGGAAGAAGAAGAGAGCCACCAAGAAGGCTCGCGTTGAGCACCCACCAGCTGTCGTTCCTGAGCCCGAGCAGTTGTCAACTGCCGATCAACCTCCTGTGATAGATCTGGTCGAAGAGGACTCAGGCAAGACCTTCCCACCCCGCGTGCCCGAGAAGGATACGTCTTCAGAGCCCGTCCCGGCAGTTGCCGCTTCTTCGGGCAGCGATGACGCAGTTTAGAGTATTTTGACTCCAAAATTTGGCCTTCTCAAGAGCAAGGGCACGGTATTTGCTGAGGAGGTCACTAGTTGGGTTGAATTGCCAGTTGCTCAGCTCGGGGCCCGAGCGGCTACTCACTGCATGGTGGTAAGTTCTCGGACTTGTCTCTTCAAACTGTCTTGTACTTGGATTTTTGTATACTGACACTTGTTTTCTTCTCTTGATAGGTGAATTCCACCATCCACGCCTTGGCTTATCAATCTGAGGTGAACTTGAAGCTGGCCTTCGGAGTCGAGGAGTCTTCCCAGAAAACCCACACCGAACTGAACTTAGCTCGCAACGAAAATAACCAGTTGAAGAACGATGAGCAGGCTAAGAAGGAGTTGCTTACTTTGTATATGTCAGAGAAGAAAGAACTTGAAGAGCGTGAGGCGGCACTGAAGAGGGAGGTGGAGAACCTCGAGGCCCATGTGAAGGAACGAACCGAGCTACTTCTTCAGGCGATGGAAGAGGCCAAGGCTAAGGCTATCAAGGAGTACAAGTCCTTAGCGGAGTTTCAGAAAGAAATGGTCGAGGTAGGGACGGCGAGTTACCGCAAAGGATTCAAACTTAGCAGGTTGTTGACCCGACGTGAATTTCCCCAACTCGACCTCAGTGTCATAACCACTTCGAGGATCACAGAGGAGATGTCCGTCGAAGCTGCCCAAGATCCGGACTGTGAAGCAGAAAGTGATGGCGACTTGCTCGACGAAGATGAGGAGACTGGTGCTGGCGAGAGCCGCATGGAGACAAACACTCCTGCCGAAGCCTCCAGCAAGGATGAGGAGCCTCGAAGTGACTGGATGCCTCTTTTCTTGGACCCCCTTCTGTAATACTCCGAGCTCGGTCCATTGTAATTTTTTCTTTTTTTTGTATCTGAAATTCCATATCAATGAAATACAAATGTTTTTGCAAGCGTTGTGTGCAAAAAAAAATTTCTAAGTGTAGAAATTTTTTATGTCAGCTCGGCACTATGGCCCTTAGGCTTCTAGGAGTGATTCATAGTCCTCTCTCCAGTTCGGTGATCCTTTTTTACCGGTTCGGTGGTCACTAGTAGTACCTTCTCAGGTTGTCGATATTCCATGCTTGAGGTACCTGCTTCCCTTCCAAAGTCTCGAGCTCATACGTGCCTTCCCCGAACACCCGTCTTAATCGGTACGGACCTTTCCAATTCGGTCCGAGCTTACCAACGTCGAGCTCAGGTACCATAACCTTCTGAAGAACTAGGTCACCGACGCGGAAGTGTCGTTTTCTGACCCGGGCGTTATAGTACCGAGCTACTCTTTGTTGGTAAGATGCAGTCTGGATGTAAGCCAGGTCTCGTACCTCTTCTACCAGGTCTAGGTTGGTAGGAGCTCGTCATCATTCGTCTCCTTGTCATAAGCCTCCAATCGTTGTGTGGGCACCTCAATTTTTGGCGGGATCACCGCTTCTGTGCTATAAGTGAGGTTGAAAGGGGTTTCACCTGTGGCGGTCTTAATGGTAGCTCGGTAAGCCCAAAGGATACTGGCAGTTCATCCACCCACAACCCCTTGGCTCGAGCTAAGCGAGCTTTCAGTCCGCGAAGTATCGCTTTGTTAGTGACTTCTGCTTACCCATTTGCCTAGGGGTGTTCCACCGAGGTCAAATTTTGTTGAATTCCCATTTCGGCACACCAGTTTTGAAACTTGGTATCCTTGAACTACTTCCCATTGTTGGAGATAAGTACCCGAGGTAGCCCGAAGTGACATACTATGTTTTTCCAGAAGAAATCCTGTATGTTGCGGGCTATGATCGTTACCAAAGGTTCGGCTTTCACCCACTTCATAAAGTAGTCTACTGCTACGACCAGGAACCTCCTCTGTCCTGTCGCTGGCGGGAAAGGTCCAAGGATGTTGACTCCCCACTATGCGAAGGGCCATGGGCTAGTGAGGTATTTCAAATCAGCAGCAAGTCGATGGTGAATGTTAGCGTGCCTCTGACACCTGTCTCACTTCTTGACGAGCTCGAGTGCATCTGTCTTCATCGTGGGCCAGTAATAGCCTTGCCGTAACGCTTTCTGTGTGAGATCTCTGCCCCCCAAGTGTCCACCACACAAGCCTTCATGGGTGTCACGGAGTACATGCTCGACCTTTGAGGGTCGCAAGCAGCACAGGCTGGGGAGCGTGAAAGATCTTCTATACAGCTGTCCGTCTATAAGGACGTATTTAGCTGACTGGCGCTCTACCCTTCGGGCCGCATTGCGTTCTGCAGGTAAGGTCCTGTGAAGCAGTTAACTTACGAGTGGGTCGATCCAGCTCAGTTCCGCTTGTTATACGAGAGTGACCTCTTCTATCCCCCCCCCCCCGAGGATGCTAGGTAGAGGTAAATTCTCAATGTACACGGCCCGCATGGTATTACTGCTCGTACTGGCTAGTCGAGACAAGGCATCGGCCTCAGCATTCTCGGACCTTGGGATTTGTCTAATGAAGTAGGAGATGAA